AGGTTTCAGATGCTAAAGTGTTAGCAACAGTCACAGTTTTAGCTAGTCAGCTAAGGCGATCCCAAATTCCACAGCAATGCTTTTAGATCACTTTTAACAGCAACATCTAATGATATAGGACATACTTATGTACCCATTTATCACATGTGCCATCAAATATGAATTTGGCCATGTTGATTTTAATTAAAAACACATTTGAGAATCTTGATTAAAAATATGTTTCAAGGAAAGAAAACCTGTTATTTTTTATGGGGTTTCATTCTGCAACATCCCACCATGATGTATTCTTATTTAGCTTCAGCTTAACTTAACATTAGAGCCTTTTAACCAAGTTGTGTCATTTCAAATTAGTCTTTTGATCAAGCATAATAAGAGCAAAACTTTAAAAAAAATGACCTTCAAATTCAAATGTAGTGAGCACCTAATTTCAATGTACCTGCAAAGGTTGACAGGTCACCTCTGGCTCTGACTCACTACAGGCTGCAGAACCTGGGACAGAGGGAAGATGAGAAAAACAATGAAACAAAGAAATGAGAGGAGGCTGAGAAAAATGACAAAACAAAGAGACTGATCACTGAGAACCCAGAGCCCTGTCAAATCCATCCTGGGGTTAATTCACAAACCAACTGCGCTGTCGCCATAAAAGGTCAGACAGTCTATTATGTAAAGAACTGAGCTGAGGGAGGGGCAAAGGGGTTAAAATACCATCCATGGCTAAGGTGGCATTAATGACCACACTTGCACACTTGTTTTCTGTTTCTCGGCCTGCCAACCGCTCATGCAGACAGAGGAATGAGGATTACTGTGCTCACTTCATGGCCTCAGACCAGTCACACACCTGGCCATAGAAGGATCTTGAGGAAGAGAGGATTTCTCATGCTGTGTTGACATACGCACACACACATTCCCTCGCTGAACCTTTAGAAGCCCAGGGCCACAACAACCATAGAAGGCAGGGGTCTGCTTAGAATGGCCTCAGAGACTGAGCATCCTTACAGTCAGACTGTGAGCGAGTACTGTACTGGTTCTAAAGGTAGCCGACTCCCAAGAATTACTGGGGAATAATCCAGTTTATCTCACACACGCACAAATAAATCAACACTCAAAGACAATGGTAATCTGTTAAGAGTTTATCATATACAGCGTCGACTGATTCGTCACTGGAGGTATATGTGAACTCAAGGTCACTGGAAAAATTGGCATTGTCTGTAAATGTTCTCAAATCAATAATCTGGTAAACAACCTCCATGTAGATAACATTTGCTGTCTATAACAACTTCTGCTTGGAAGAACACTTCAGTTAGAGTTTTGCAAATTAACAAATCATTAGCTATAATTTTAGTAATTCAAACAATTACTTCAATACTTTCTTGCTAAACATTTACAGGATGTATCAGATCACATTCGTGCTGCATGACACTGGCTCATATTTCATTTTTAAAGAGTCGATTCTCCTGCATTTAATCCAGAGCTAGGAAGAGGGAGAACACATGGGTCACAGCAAGGCTAGAAAAATACTGAACCATATTTAGCTCTATTTGGCTTGGCCAAGAGGTTCCAGTTAGCTCTGGGCCAGTTATGCTGAACACTGGATATTAAAGGCTCAAGGAAAACTCCTCAAAGGTCTCAACTTTCCTTGAGATAACGAGGAATATTTGTTCTTGTTTAAAGCCAACTCAAAATCAACACCCTGTGAGTCTTTAAAGTGTGAGCAGTTGTCATTAGGCCTAACTCTTGTCCTCACTCACCTCGACCTTCTCCCACTGTGCCCTGCCCAGATTGGGCTTCCACTGTGACAACAGACAGCGGAGTTGATGTGTCCCTCACGTCTCCCTCCCCGCCGCTATCCACCACTGTCCACCTCTCCTCTGCGTCCTCCTCTTCACCTCTGTCTGTTATTTTATCTCCCGTTTCCTCGAGCCTCTCTTCTCTTTGCCCGTCATGTACTTGGCAATTTCTCTCTGCTAGCTCATTCTTAAGGAAATCTTGAATAGCAAATTCCTCGTCCCAGTCCAAGTCATCTCCAACCTAAAAATAAAAATGCAAAGGTGAAATTTGCAGAAGCATTTCAAAACCCACTCTAGTAAAAAAACATCTGGAGGACTGAAGGTGGCATAGTTACAGTTACAAAAAAAATCTTTTTGATGCCAAGTTTCTGTACAGCTATTGCTGCTTCTGGTCAAACTAACTACACACTTGGGTATTATGAGAACTATCACCATAAAACAAAATACAGTATTTACAGTAAGAAAAGCTCTCAAACATGCCAGCTTGATGTAGAAGACGTCCACAGCAGCCTGGTTTAATTCAGGGCTATCCTGTAAAATATCTAAAACTTAAAGCTTAGTTGTTATGGACAGCCTGGTTACTGTATGCATGTATATGGTTGCTGTATAAACATATACACATATGCATTTGTGTGAGGTACATCAGCACCTCACATATTCCTTTTTAGAGTAAAACAATGGTGTTGGAATGGAAATGTTCAAGTATGCGTCAGCGTGTTATTAGCAGTGCGTAGGTGTGTGCTTGCATCCGATTCTGCATGCATGTGTATTTATGTGCGGGGGTGCACATGTCCACTTCAGTCGCCAGCTCGCAGTGAGCTCTCCTCTACTATCTCTACTCCATCTGTCTGAATACAGTGCGAGCTGTCTCTCCAGTGATGCACACATTGTGGTTACTGATAACAATGTAAAAAGAGCATACATATATATTATTGCATCTGATTATTTTCTAACCCCAGCTGAGAGAGGATTTAAAAAGTGCAGATGGTGTACATCACACTTCAGTCTTACTCATTGAATATGCAAAAAATTATGCACACAGAGTATAGATGAAGATTTCTTCTAGGAATGGTGAAAGCAAGGGTCTGCAATTGTTTATGGCATAAAACTTAATAAAATAAAGCATAATGAGCCCCATCCCCTGTTTTCTGACCTCCTCTTCTAGTGCAGGTGTCTGGCATGAGGCCTCTCTGCTATCCTGAGGGGTCTTTAGCTGCTCGAGCTCCTCACACAGCTGCCGCTTCTGGTTCTCCTGCTCCTGCACCCTGTATGCAATTACACGGCGCCACGTTAATAACAGCTCAAGCATTATTAGTTTAAGGAAAGATGGGGTAGCTACATCTAAACTGTCTGAAGACTTGTCCAAGCCCATGCAAGCAGATCCTAGTAGAAAGTACAGCGGACATACTGTACCCAATCCGCAGGCCCATGCAGTGTCCCATTCTGTTGCCCAGGGTGACCAGCGCCAGTTCTCCGACTGGCCCAGTAATGCTTCCTTCAGTCTAGATTTTCAAATGATCCAGAACTAAACCTACAGTGAGCCCTCTGCAGTTTCTTCCCCCCCACCCCCAAACAAGATCACCCTGACAGCTGAGCTTCTAAATCCCAGGTCTGACCAGCTCTCTCCCTCTGGTCTTGTGGTGCACCAGACCAAACCCTGTTATATATCCAAAGGGGACGGCCGTTTCTATGAACACACATCAACAGACACGCGTAGAATGCAAGACAAATCCATCCAGAGTCAGAATACAATCCAGGAATGGCCCAGACCCAACTTAGTGAGGCAGGCCCTCTATGGTCACTGAGGTCGGGATGATTAACGGGTCTTTCCTCCATTCACTACAACAACTGACTGCCCAACTGAAACAGAGCCTGGACAAGCAGAGCCCCCCTCAGTGACACCTGCAGCGGTCTGAGTACTGTATGTGTGGTTATTTATTAGGTGTGGGG